GTCACAGTTGCCGCTTCTAACATGCAAACATTAACACTGGTACCGTATAAAGTAGCGGCCCCCACGGGACTAAAAAATGTGTCCAGTGGCCCCCGACTAAATTGAGTTTGAGACCCCTGCTGTAGAGGGATGCATTGGTAGAATTTGATTTTTGACTAACGATCCGCTTTAAGAGCCACTGTCATGCTGCCTGTGCAGTGCAAAAGGAGTCTCTGCAAATGTCCCCCACCGCACCCCCTTACATTCACTTAGGGACAGCTCACACCACATCCAGTGTGTTCCGGCAGTTAGTGGCTGGAACGCACTGGATCGCATAATTAAAACCTCCAGCATTCTGGAGCAGGAGGGGGCGTGGTTGTGGTTGTGCCATTCATGTCAATGCCTCCCACCCTTAGCGTGATCGCCTGCCCTTGAATGCATGGTACAGCAATGACTACGGGCCGGTGCAGGCATTGCTGCACCATGCATTCTGGTGCGGGCGATCGCACTGCACTCAGGAGGTGTGATGCGGACAATAGCACTGCAAGCGGGAGGCGTGGCTGCGGTGCCAATGGCATTAATGGCACCACTACACCCTCTTCTGCCCCAGGAGGCTTTAACCATGCAGTCCAGGCTTAAACAATTTGCTGCAATTTAAATCTGCACCTATACACCAATCACCCTCTTGTGGCCAGTTCGCCCATGACTGTGATATGAGCCATCATCAGATGGGCTCAGAGAACAGACAGGTACAAAGCATAGGAATACACATCTTATCTACAGCCTGTCTCAATGTGATCTGTAAATGAACTCCCATCAACCTTGCCCTGCACATTAACCCCTTCATCTCCACCCTGCCACTGTATGTGACCTTTACATTAACCCCTTCACCCCCTGCCCTCTGTGTATGACCTGTGCACTGCATGTAGAGCACCACTACCAAGCTTTGTCCCTCTAAATTACCAGCATGCTCCATTTGCACACAAAAAAAATGATACAAAATTTGAGGTGCCTGCTTTCCAAAAAGGGGTCGTCCACACTGTCCTGGCATATTTATCTTAACAGAAGAAAAACAAACTGTTTTGTTTCCGAACACATTTGGTCTTTATTTCTTTGCACAGTAAAAAAAAAAAAAAAAACCAACCTGGAAATTTCCCAAAATTTTGGGAACATCTCAAAAGATGATATATAAAAAAATTGGATACTGTCTTTTGCCAGTCAAACTATCACAGCACTAAAGAATCGCATAATAATGAAGAGGTCTATACAGGCTGGTCTGTAAATGTATTTTTCTTTTTAAATCCTAAAATGGGCTTTCAGTGCGTTCCAGAGCAGGAAAAATAGGGCTTGCTGCAGTTTTTTTAACATGCGCTGAAACTGAATGCTCTGGTGTGAACTAGAGCCCAAAATACCATTGGAATACATTGGACGCAGTTTTGATCCGTTCTGTAACTGTTCTGCATCTGCTCCGCGCTTGGTGTGAACTAGCCCTAAAGGTGCCCATACACCTTACAATTATCACCTTTTCCATCTGACCACAGAAAATCTGCAGATAATTGTAAGGTGTATGGCCAGCTTAATAGAGACTTCAGGCAGACCTGAAGAGACACAGTCAGGAAGCTGGTCCTAAGCAATGGTACACAGCTGATGCTTGAGCAAATGCATGTAGACATGAAGTGACTGAAAAAGGCTGCAGAGATCAGCAGAACAGACTTCAAATTTTAAAAAAGACCATGTCAGTTGTTTACATACAGCGCTTTAGCGCACAAAGTCATCTAGTTAAGGATTAGATCTACTTTAAAGTGGAACTCCAACATACAGCCAATTTTTCACTTCAAGTTCCCTGTCCCCATGCCAGGGGAAGACAAGTTGGTATGGAATTCTGGGGCCACTCTGTCTGATCCCAAAAAAAATTAAGAGCCAGTTCTATTGACGGCACAAAGAGAGAACATCAAACGTTAGGTTCTGGCTGTTTATGGAGCATTACCTACCTGGCTTCTGGGACTTGTCCTGCCCTGCCACATGCATATCAAAAATAATAACATTTTACAAATGTCTCTAACTTTCTTAGCAATGTTTATTTATTGTGATATCACTTGCAGCCAGTACCTGCTGCCTTGTCCAGTTGTCTGGAGGAGGCACTGCACATATCAGCAGCCATGTGAAACAGAACTACAATTTCAATAAATCATAGTATTGATGTTGTGGGTGTATACATTAGCAGTGTCCAGGGTTGTTCTTGGTCTGCCACTTTGTAAACATTTAGCTGCCAATCAATGCCCATGGGCAGGTCACAACTGGGTGCAAGTGTGACACAAACACATCATCGCTTCCTAAGGTAAGCTACCACGAGGAAGAAAAGCGACCAGCAGCCACTATCCATAGAGAGATATGAGTGGTGGTCGGTCGTGCTGTACAAAAGCCACCCTGCACAGGCAGAACGAGGGGCATGTATGAGGGGGCAAAAATGCCTCCACAGCTGGAATTCATAACAAGGACAACCGGGAAAAGGTAAACCTCTTCTTAGCATATCCTAGTGTTTGCTTCCTGGCCAGAGTGGTTTTAAGGCTCATTCACACCACATACGTTGACTCCTAACCAATCGATCAATCAAACAATTGCACCCGGTTTACAATGCTGCACTCAGGTGGGTTGCAGCCCATACAAATGTAAGCGTGCTGCTTATTTTGCACCACACCTCACACGAGTGCAAAAACTTCTCTTGTGGTGAGGCTACTCCCGCTCTGCAAGGGTTAACAGCTCATTTATGTCTAGAGCAGCTATGGAAAGCACTTTTTCTTACCTGATCCCACTCCTACAGGCTAAAGAGCAGCACCTGGAACCTCTCTCCCCCTAAGCTCCAGTAGTCCAAGGCCTACTGATGTCATCATATCTAGTGCAGGGCCCATAGCCCTGCATGACACGGGAGGACGCCAAGGGACGTCCACAGGTAGGAGAGTGCTGACTTTTAGAGTTCAACGTACGTGTGTGTGTTTGTATTCATGTGTATTTAAAACTTCCCATATCCTTGTATATTTAGTGACATTTTATTGAAGTGTTTTACACCATAACCCTAGACAAAACCAAACAGTTTAAAGTAGTATAAAACACCCAAACTTTTTTTTTTCCAATTAGGAATCCAGATCAAACAAAAACACATTACTCAGCAAAGTATTTCTTTGTTTCCCCCAATACTTCCAGTGAGCAGATTGCTGAACAGCTCCAACTCGCTCAGCTTCCCTGAACTTCCTGTCCAGTACAAAATCACAAAGGACAGAGCAATCTCCAGTACCTGTCTATCCACTAACTTGGAGAAGGTAAGAATGAATGAATGAATGAATGGGGGAGTAGGGGGAATGACTTGCCCAGCTGTGCCAGTACGTACGTGGAAGTCCAGAAACGTAGCACTGGACTCCTTACAGGAAAACCCATTGAGAACGGTGCTGAAGTAACTGCCGCACAAATCAGAAGAGAAGCGGTCACCAGCACACTGTAGGATTGTGTCCCAACAAACATCTTATTATTGACACAGCAAAAACAACGTTTCAGGCCACATAGGGTCGACCCTGCGTGGCCTGAAACATTGCTCTTGCTGTGACAATATGTGTCAATAAAAAACACATTCATTGAGACACAATCCTACAGTGTGCTGGTGATATATTGTTTCTCTTCTGTGTGTTTGTGGAGACACACAACCTACTAGCACACACAAGGTTGGCTCCATAGGGCCCTGCAAGTGAAAGGAGCCACCCTACAAACAGGATATAAGAGCCATTGCTCAGGGGGATCAGCTGATTCTGCAGGAAACTAAACCTTTTAAATATCCAGGAGCCGCATCCATGTAAGTGATTTCATCAGCAGTTGAAATAACTTAAAATCCTTTTGACTTTAATATCACTTTAACCCTTGCAGTGCAGGGATAGCCCCACTACAAAGGGAGTCCCCCAAAATAGAGACCTTAATGTAATTTTAAAAACGTTTAAAAAAAAAAAAAAAAAAAAAAAAGGGCTAACAGCACCCTGCGTTGTAACAACACAAGGCACCGTCCCTTACTGCAGGCCAGTGTGAACAAGCCCATAACACCAACTTCACTACTAATACAATTTTCTAAATTACATATAGGATCCTAAAAAAATACAATGGTATGACAAGCACTTTGCACTGTACCAAAACATTCTACGAACGCATACTTTTGGACAGGGGTGAAGAAATCCAAGGAGCCAGGTAGCCAATGGCTCCTTAAAAATCTCAACTAGTGCCTAACTTTTGAGGTCGTCTCTAGTTGTCAATGGAGCCGGCTCCCGGGTAGGATAGACTGGCTCCTGAATTTCAGGATGATTTGCCCACCCCTGCGTTTGGACATACTCAGCAGCAGCAAAGAAAAGGAGTGGGAGGCGTTAATGACTGGAGAAACCGAGGCACGCCGACTCCAACGACCTCCTACTTCTAACAACTTGAAACGTTATAGCTTTTGAAGAATCCCTCCGCAAAGCTCCTATGACAACGTGCAGGTCGTGGTAGTCCCCGGTAGACGGCAAATTTACGCTGGCGAGCCCATGCCTGCAATGCAAAGCCAACCGTGTACAGCCCCCCTATGACTGCAAAGCTGGCATCTGTCAAACCTCAGGACCCTTGAAGGAAAGCCATCTTTAAGACAAGAGACCTGAGCGTGCACATCTCACTGCCGGTGACACAGGGAGGGAGGGGGGACAAGGATGGAGCCTCGTCCCACCTTAGATGAAAGCCCATATGGTTACATCCAAGCTAATGCACAATCATCATTGGGCTTGAACTGGGTGGATAGCACACAGGTAGAATCCAAGCTCTGCAACATGCCCTGCCTATGTGGAGAAGGGGAACCCATTGCAAGGATGCCATTGCCATCAATCACTTGCACTGCTAGCGACCATCCAGCTGCGATGTGATATGAGCACATCTCCAGGTGTCATTGTGCAGCCATACATCTGCGATCACAAGCATGCATAGGTCCATCTGCAATTAACACTGTGGGGACAACTTACTTTCCAATCACCTCACAGAGCTCATACACATCTTCAAACAGCACGTCGTCGTCGGCCATGGTCCTGAGAGGGGATTTCAATGAAACCACACAAATTTTTTTTTGCACAAATGAGGTCCAGCCGAGGAGGTATTAGATCCCAGGGAGGAAGAAGAAGAAAAAAAAAAAGAGGTGGCTACACAAATCCGATCAAGATGACACAGAAGGTGACACCCGGCGCTCCCCTTTCATCAATGGACCGCAGAAGACAGGCAAGGCGGCCGCTTTACATCTCAGGGCCGCCGCTTCCCCAGAGCTCCGCCATCCCGAGGAAACCGAGCGCCTCCCGGCGCCGCCGAGACACACTGGACAGAGACCGCGCCTCGATGTGCCACCGTCCACGAGCAGCGCGCCCCCCCTTCCCCCTAATTATATGACGGTGGTGTCCGCTCCTCAGCTAACCGTGCCCCACATTTCAAAACCTGACGCGTGAGCGCGCCCTGCTTTCTCCCTCAGTCTTCTGCTACTAGGAGGAGGCAGGCTCCG